AATGGCACTCTACTGTCATTTATTTTTAATTTCTTTTACTAATTATGAGTTTGAACCACCTTTTAAACATTTGCTGAGTGCAATTCTTTCACTGAATGTCTGCTATACTCAGTATAGTCAACAAACATGGAGTTTATATCTAGTGCAAAAACCAAAAATTTCCCAACAGCAATAAAAAGTTTAAAACCACTTAAGAAATGAGTATTTCTATGCAAAACAAAAAATGCAAATAGTAACAAAGTGAAACCAAGGGACACACAGTGAAGGGGTCTAGTGTTGTAGGCAAAATAGAATGAGCCTCTCAGAAGAGATGGAATTTGAATAGGGAATCCACTGCGCCATGTGGATTCTTGGATATGAAAAAGCATGTATAAAGCTTCTGATGCCCGGCCACATTTGCCCAGAGAACAACTGAAGAGAGTGGTGGTAGCAAATGAGGTTGGAGAGAGAGCAGGAAGCTACAGCAGCAAAGGTCTGTCTTGCAGGCCCTCACAAAGGCTTTTTTTTTTTGGATTTTTTCCTCAGTGTTTTGGGAAGTCATAAAAGGGCCCTGAGCAGTGGAGTGGTACAATCTCATTTACCTCAATTTGGCTGTAGGGTCTATAAGAGGAAGCAGCAAACTAGCAAGGAGACTAGAAGTGAGATGAGCAATGATATGATGACTCTGGAGTAACAGTGCAAAGAGAGAAAAATAATTTTTCAGGATTTATTATGAAGCAGATCTGCTGATGGATTTGATGTGTGATGTTGGAGAAAAAGGAGTCAAGGACAATTCTAAGGCAAGTGGGTGGTGCTATTTACTGTGACAGGAAACACTGAGGGAATAACAGGTTTATGGGTGTGAGGGTAAAATCAAGAGTTCACTCTAGAAAGTATTAAAGTAATATAAAGTATTAAGTAAATTAGATGGATCTTTCTGAAGACTGGTCACAATTTCAGTGTAATTTTTTATAGCAGCAATTTATGGTTATTTAAGGACAAAACTAGAACAAGATTTGAGTGTTAAATTATCATTCTGAGCTCAAAAGCTTGGGACATCCAAGAGAAACAAGTAGTGGGCTATGTGAGTCTTGAGTTGAAAGGGAAGGGTTAAACTGAAGACATAAATTAAGGAGCCTTCAGTCACAAGTAGAATATAAAGTCAGGAACTGGGGTAAGGTCCTCTAGGGAATGAGTATAGGTAGAGAGAAAAAGAGGCCTGGGGCAGGAGGTCCTCTACCTATTTAGAGGAACAGAAGGAGGATCCAATAAAGCACAGCATGAGATGGAAGGGAAACTAATGCAGGACCTTGTGTTTGTTACTGAATTGTGTATATTTTTCTTATATTCATGATTTTATACTTTGTCAGTTACAACCACTACAAATATTTTCCATTTTTCATCTGGTTCAGATTATTTTTCATGTATTTAAAAATATTTGTTGTATAGTAAAATCCCCCAGTCATTTCCTTTATAATTTCCCTTATTACTATTAAGGTTAAAAAGTCTCCAAGTAACTGTCAGTGAAAGTACTGTATTCTTTTTAGATATACTTGATAGTGTATTTTGACACATTATACATATATGGAGTATAATTTTCCATTCTTGTGGTTGTACATGATGTGGAGTTACAYTGGTCAAATATTCTTATACAAAAATAGAAAAGTTATGTCCAATTCATTCTACTGTCTTTCCTATTCCCATCCTCTCCATTCTCTTCATTCTCCTTTGTCTAATCCAATAAAGTTCTATTCTTACCCCACTTCTTATTTTATGTTAGCATCTGTATATCAGTGAGAACAAAACATTCAGCCTTTGGTTTTTTGGGATTGGCTTATTTCATTTAGCATGATAGTTTCCAGTTCTATCCATTTACTGGCAAATGCCATAATTTCATTCTACTTTATGGCTGAGTAATATTCTACTGTGTATATATACATTTTCTTTATCCATTATCTGTTGAAGGGCACCTAGGTTGGTTCCATAGCTTAGATACTTCGAATTGAGTTGCTATAAACATTGATGTGGCTGCGATACTGTAGTATGCTGATTTTGAGTCCTCTGGGTATATGCTGAGGAGTGGAATAACTGGGTCAAATGGTGGCTCCATTTCAGGTTTTTTGAGGAATCTCCATACTGCTTTCCAGAGTGGTTGCACCAATTTGCAGTCTCACCAGCAATGTATGAGTGTAACTTTTCCCCATATCCTCCACAATATTTATTGTTACTTGTATTCTTGATAACTGCCATTCTGACTAGAATGAGATTAAATATTGGCAGAGTTTTAATTTGCATTTCTCTAACTGCTAAAGATGTTGTACATTTTTCATATATTTGTTGACTAATTTTATTTTTTCTTCAA